ATATTTATGACTGGAAAACGTCTCGGGTAATTACATTTTTGAATTTTCTTCTTAATAATGTCACTTACCTTTTCACTCGCTGTATATGTATTATAAAATGTCACTGAACTTTTTTTTTCTGTAAAATGAATGCTATGTTGGAAATTATACTCGTATTACGGATGGAAGGGACTTATTTATATTAAAATGGAAGCAGGATTATATTCGTTTGTTGGAATGTCAACAGGCGTAATCTTTAAAATGTAATCGTATAACATCGAATTTTTAGACATGTCGCTAAGATAAAACTCATTATAATTATTTTACCATACACGTTTTGTCATTTTTACTGTATTGTGTAAATCAAAACTGTGGTAGGCAATCCCATTTCAGTTTTAACTGCATGCGTATGTCCGAGATATAATTGAATTTGCATATATCTCTTTTAAATTTCATTTAAATCTGTTTTATAATTACATTTTAAGTAACATGCCGTGCATATCCGTTAGAATCATGGACAACTAAAAATATGCTGTATGGTATAATTACCAAAGCAATTCAGTAAGTTGAAAAAACGTGAATTTCAAATGACGTTCTAAATACTTACAATTATCTGAAAATCATTCTCTTCCCTTTTAAATCAATGAGTTAAAAACAAAAATGTTCAATTCATTTGATGAACATTGTAAGGTAAAGTTTAACAGAAGTATTTGCACATCAAAATCAGTTCAAAAGTAAATACCTTGGAGGAAGCAATTAAAATCTGACGTTTGATTCCAGTTCATTTGGTCAAGATTTCACACAAGGGCGTCGCCTCGCTCTAATGGAAGCCACGCCATTCGTCTTGGCGTAAATCCAAAAGTCAATTATCGAAAACCCGCGCCGGTAACTTCGGCAATTATTCCTCATTTGTGCTGGAACACCTTAACGAGTGAGGTTTGAACGACACTTGACTTTCCGTTGCTCCGCGTTTTTGGCATTCGCGTAACTCGTAGCTGACTACGTAGTGTTCTCGTTGAGGTGCTTCTGTTTTGAAGTGCTCGTTATTTATGCACTTGTTACGTAAAATATGTTGTTTTTTAATTAAATATCAACATAATTCCATAAATGTCATCGTAGTGATTGCCGATGTAATTTTGCACGGAGCCAACAAATGAGTCTTGTTTGGTACTATTCTTTATAGTATTTTTTTTGAGTAACTAGAATGGTAAAAAATGATAGGATGTGGCAACTATTGCCAATAGACATCGCCTATATACATATAGAACACAACAGATGTGACTTTATGCGTTTCCATTTTAGTGGACTAAGCCTTCGTACCATGCAAGTTCACTACTTGATTACATGTCATGAAACATAAAATACAAAGCGTGTTTGGCGGCAGAAATAACCGACACAGTGGTAGTCACGAAGATCACTTAGTACAGGGTATCTCATGAAGATACCTCGTTATCTATATAGGTTATGGAGAGGTCTATACTCATTAGTGTGATGTCAGTCTTCATTGTTCATTATGTACTATATATAATAATATAATAATAGATTTAAGGTCAATAGCATCATCATCATCATCATCATCATCTGCTTCATCCTTATCCCATTTATTTGGGGTCGGCGTAATATGTTTTTCGTTTCCATTCATCCCTGTTCGCAGTCATTGCGTTATTTACTTCCTTTCTTACCATATCATCTTTCACACAGTCCATCCATCTCTTTTTTGGCCTTCCTCTGCCCTTATAACCATCCACATTCATTTGTAACATCTTTCTTAAAATATTGTCCTCGTTCCTACGCATTACATGTCCATACCATGATAGACGATTACTCTTCAACCTCTCTGACACCGGTGCCACTTTCATACATCCTCTAATGTATTCATTCTTTATCTTATCCATTCTTGTCACACCACACATCCACCTCAACATTCTCATTTCAGTTGCATGCAGTCGTCTTTCATCCGTCGCCTTTACGGGCCAGCACTCTGATCCATACAAGACAGCAGGCCGGATCATGGTCTTGTAAATTTTCCCCTTAAGAAGAGGAACACGCGAGTCACACGTCAACCTGCCGCCACTTCATCCATCCTGCGTTAATTCTATGCTTTATTGTCTAATTCACCATTGCTTTGGAGGAGAGAACCTGATACAGGATATATAATGGAATGTCATCGTCAGCCAACGAGCACAATGTTATCTGCAAATAGCATGCACCAGGGTTCTTCTTGTATCTCCGACGTCAAGGCATCCATTATCAACAAAAAGAGGTACGGGCTTAAAGCCGATCCCTGATGCAAGCGTCAATAGCATGCGTTGATAATACAATTTGAGAGATAATAATTTTAGAAAATTATTCTTAAAATAATTGTCTTGTGTGCTAACAGCTAACGTAATAAACGATTAATTAACTGCGTGCGTAACTGCCGTTTAGTCCGGCAAGTTGTGGGTGCCAGGCGATTTAGTGCCTACGCCACGTGGCGTTAATGTCTCTTTACGATAACTTGTTGTTTAATATAACAATATATTCATCAGACTCACAAGTCTATAACTATATTCACATATTTGTATGAGGATGGAATGACGCACCAGCCTGCGCTAACGGTATACGCTCCCGGGGCACCAGTCAAGAATGATAGGATGAGCATGAACTCAGCCCATCGCGGTTAATTCATCAGGAATGGACCGCGACCGGTCTTTGGGAAGGTCTCCGTGGTCTTACCTGATGTACTCGTATTACAAAGATGCCCCTAATCGCCTTTAGTAACAATCTTCAACCCTTCAAACTAATTGAAAGTATTCTTTTTTTTTATGAAACGGTATGACAAAAATGTCATATGATGCTCGTCTTATCCCTTCTGTGTTACTATAGTTAGTAATGTACACTAACTAAAGGGATTGTTACTAATATTAATTCATAACGTCTATTGCTAGCAATGTCTCAGTTAACCTGACCTAAAGTTAAAAGTTTAGTGAATTTAACACAATGTTTTATTCTTATATGATCATCGTCCACTGGTACCCGCCAGCACAGGAGAGTGCAATATTCTATTATTATCAATCATAAAGATTTTTAGTTTATATATTATAATAAATAAACTAAATATCTCTGTGCTTTTAAAATCTTGATAAAATGTTTAAATAAAAATAAAAAAATTGAGATAATTCACTATTTACATTGTTATTTCTTACTCTATTAATAAACATAAAGTTCTTCGAATTCATAACGGATAGGATGTAATGTGATTACCGAAAGATAAAGGTGTAATGAATCAACGAAATTAATGAACGGAAGTGAAATCTCTATGAAATTATACTTTATGAGTACATGCAATAACGTATTATTTTGCTATATCATGAATCATGATATGACGCCATTTTATTCTGAAAACGGGACATACTCATATATCTAATCTGTGTTGATAAGAAATTCCTCATAGCCCTTGTTTCAGATTCATATAAAAATATATGATAAATGTTAATTTATTAATTTTTGAAGATGATGATGTGTTTATATAAAATTATTAATTTAAATATAATAAATATAATCTACCAACTATAATAAATTGAGATATTAATCAGTCTTAAAATGTATGCTTTGTTATATTGTATCATAATATTAGTCTATATGTCGCCCTTACTTGATGGTTATGTGTTTATCAAGCATGTGGGATTGAATAATAAAATAGTCCAAATTAAACTATTATTATATGGTAGAAATAATAAAAAAGTAGTTATGAAAAATATTCTACGTATGAGATTAAATACAATATTTTTAGTAGAGTCTGAAAAGATAGTTACAATATATGAAAAATCACGATGTAAACACCGGAATCAAACTATTGAGAATAATGAAGGTATCTCTGAATATTATAAACAAAGTCTGGTTTTCTATCATAATTGTTCTGTATGTACAATATTGTACAATACATAAAAAACGTATACATTGAGAGAATACATGTATACATTAAGAAAATAGTAAGATAAAACATAGAACTAGTAATATACAACGGGTTGCAATGTGCATATATGTATAAAATGTGTTTAAAATACTAATGGTGTAATTTAATAATAATTAGGTGTAGTATATATTTAGCTGTTATTAAAGGATAGTATCAGTGTGTTCGCAATAACTTGGTGCATAGTGGTTTATTTTTTAATCATTTACACATTAAAACATACTTTTTGCGACAAGTAACATATTTTATAACAGTGAAATATAATATTGTTTGTGGTCACCCTTAAGTATATAATAGTGTTCTCGATAATTTTCTTTGTTATCGAAAATCGCAACATTGAGCCGACGTCTCACCTTATAAATGAGCGATAAACTGATAAGTATTGCTGTTGCTTAAAAAAAATAAATCATATCATAGACAACATATTTACTTTGCTATTTATGGGTTGCTCCTTACAAAGATCTAAATAGTATTTTCTGACCTACTATTCAATAGAACAATAAATATGTATTTATTTTTACTTTACGAAAAAATAGATAAGTCTGGGATACAGCTTCCTACGTAGTGGAGTAATGCAAAATTCTAAGGTCCTTAATACACTATCAAATATATTATAAACAATATAGTATATTACACTATCAAATATATACGGATAGACGGATATGTAGAGTATTCGTGAACCTAATAGCTGTTTGTCGCGTATTAGTCTGCATAACTCCTTTAAAACATGTTCTTTTGGGACCTTCATAACATTCTGACCTGAATGCTTGAATAGACAGTAAAAGTTAATTATTTTGTAAATTTGAACCTACTAGTACTAACCGAGGCATTCTATGTGTTGATAGGCCACATTCTGACTGACATTCGGCAAATGTTTATAGTGTATTAATGCTTTTTATATCAGTAAAAAGTTTAGTACGATGTCTTTTATAACTTAAAATAATGAGTATCAATTGTAATCATCATATTTCGCTGAGATATACATATCCGATACACTGTAGTGTAATAAGACTTCAACACAGATTATAAAAATGACATTATGATTAGTCACAGCAATTTGGTAACTCACCCATAAAACCACATTGAAGCACATCAGCGTATACCTGATGCAGTAGATCTGACTGTCCAGTTTAGTGGTTGTTGTAGTACCCTGGCCTGTTCCACCCATTTTGAAAAATCACATTCACTGCCACAATTACCAATTGTCTGTTCGTTAACTGACTTGATCGAACACTAACTGCTTATCTTAGATAACATAGATACTATGTAGCGAGGTTATCTTTGTTTGCTAAGATAAATAGAAGATAACGCTTATGAATTGCCACACCTGTTTATTTATATGTACTATGTCGAAAAGATATTAATTAAAGCATTCCAGAGTATGACAAAATATAATATTGTCTTTGGATCGGTAGAGAAGCTCGTTTTGGTCAAAGTACTTACTGGGCTATAGTAATCGTTAATATTCAAGATATGTTCTTAAAGGTATAGTAATTGTTAGCAAGGGCATTTTAATTGTAATTATACATAATGGTGACTAAGTTAAAAATTGAAATTTTATATGCCTTAACCTTGTATAGTAAACCATTTACAATTATTGATAGGGATATAAAAATATCTTAACCCATTTTAAGGTATAAATTAGTTTAGTAATTATTGAAAATAAAGTATATACCAAGTTATTCGGTGATAGATATAATATGTAGGTTTCTATATGTAAATAAATAGGTTTTTGAAGAGTATTTTTATGAGTTACAAATAAAAAGAAATATTGTTTGTGTCGTGTGAGGATCGAACCCGCGACAATCGGAAGTAAGGCGGTGTGATAAACAGCTAGACTACCGAGGCCGTCAGAAGAAAGGAAGAAAATGATGAAGATTATAGTTTAAAGAAATAATAAAGTAAAAATTTCCAATTTAATGTAAATTTGATGAACCAGATGAACCAAAGATGCATAGTTCATTGTTATTAAATCATAACTATAATATATACTGCTGTCTTAATATTACAGAAAAATAATATTGTTTTGGTATAAACGTGTAGAAGAAAATAGAATTGCATATCTCCCTTGGCGGTGAATTACAATAAAGATGCGGGTGCATGTGAGCAGACAATTTTGTTTAATCTCCTGTTTTGTTATGAATTGGATCCATTAGAACAAGTTGTTAGGAATTTGTGCCTCCTTGCAATTACTTGCACCTCGATAATATGGCTCAAAGTAGTGTCTTTGAACTAAAAGTGGTACCGTAGCATTTTCTCGACCGTGACTGTGTATTTTATGACATCTGATGGAGAAAGCCAAGTTAATCCCATGGTTATCACTTTCCATCATACGGGCCGCCAGATGTTATCCGTTATAGTCACTTAAATTCTTACTAATATTATAAAAGCGTAAGTAATTCTGTCTGTCTGTCTAAAACTACTGAACCGATTTAAATGAAATTTGGTACACAAATAGTGTAGACCCTGAGAAAGGACATAGGCTACATCTCTATGCGAAAAAAGAGTTGTAATGATTTGAAAGGGCAGATTAAAAATTGTATAGAAATGTCGTGATTTTTAAAGCTAGAAGCTGGAAACTTTTTTCATGTAACAGTTGCTTAAAATGTTTATACAGTCCTTCACTCCCGTTATCGCTATACAATTTTATATGTAAGTAGGGACAGAATCCTTTTCCCACAACTCTGACTACCATTTGATCTGTTTTTTTTGTGGGAACATGAATTCTTTTCTTCAGCATTAATTTTATAAGGGTACCTAGTCGGAATACGCTTATAATATATCAAGTCTTACGATATGGGATTCGACCGAAACGTGTTCGAAATCCGATAAACGGATTCAAACTATATAGGAAATGGATGCGGTCGGTATAAGCTGTAAACATAAATAAGGAAGATGTACGACGTTTTAGAAAATCCCCACGCACGGAATGCTCGCAGTAAATCCAACACATGCAACGATATTTTTAGTATTCGAGAAAGGCATTCTAGGAGTCTTGGGCTTCGCAACGTTTTCACGGCAGACAGTTGCTGCCGTGCAAATAATATATGCCAGTGGTGACAGGGGACTAAAGATTTATGATTAGAGACTTCATGTTTCCTTAAAGAATTAGTGGAAATGTATTTTCCACCAAATTTCCATTTGAATTTGAAACAAACGGAGTACATTGTATTTAATTGATAGGAAATTCTGAACTGTGTTTACCTTCATGTAAGTTTATATAGGCAGAGAGAACCAAGTGCTTCTATCATGTGGCAGCTTCTATTATTTCACACAATTCTTTAATACAGGTGGATTCGGAGGCTCTTGGTTGCTTTAGATGATGCCCAAACGAATATAGCATTTTTAATTTTCACATTGTAACTTTCTTTTACTCTGACTTGCTTACGTACATCTATATTACGTATATTACGAATGCAGTCTGCCGGCCTTATTTACACACTCTACGTCGTAGCCATATTTCTCTGGAACTTATTTGTTGTCTTTTATATCATCTCTCGCTACTATACAATAGTGTAGTACAAGGGTAGTATTGTTAGTAAAGGGGACGAGTGGCCTCATTGTTATGTTTTACGTGTCAAGGCCAACCTGATATTGTATCAAGACCTTCATACGTAAACCATCGTAGTTAATTCTGAATTCTGTTCTTTAATTTTTCAAAGCACTATTGTTGCTATTTTCTATACGAAGTGATAATCCGAAATCAAAATATCAATCCAGTATTTATGATTCAAGACAATTCATAATTAATTTTGCACTATTTAATAAAAAAAACTGTTATATTAGTTATCACATATAAACAACTTTCTTTTTTTAGAAACTAATAAATTGAAAGTATTACACGTTTACGATAATGTATTTTACCCTTATTATTAAAAAATGTCAAATCATTAACATTTTTACTAATTGGACTTTTACATATTTTCCTTCAAAGCTATTTTATTTATTTAAAAGAATGCGTTCAAATATTGTAAGAGTAAAATTGGGTTAGTAGGTTTGGATTTATACGAACGAGTGTGTCTCATAAAGTTGTAAGACAAACTTACAAGGGTAAATAACAACCACTAGACGATGCCTGTCACATAAAACGGTAGTCTGCGTTTCAATACCTCGCGATGCACTCTCACTTGAAATTAATCTGCAAGAAACCATTGCGGGGACTATTTACAAAGCACCCACCGACCGTATTCCCCCTGGGCTCTTCATTTTGCTTGCAAAATGTGCTAGGGCTTGCACTCTGGTTTTTATTAGATAAATGCAAATCAGCAAAACGTCCATATGAAAACTTGTAATATATATACGTTATATGTTTAATGTTTGTGATTTACAAGTAATGTAATAATAATAATATCCCTGGATAATTCACACAGCGCCCTCTCGTCCAGAGCTTGGGTAATGGTTACTTGACAACTGATAGGTACTGAGATATGTTTTATTTGCTCTGGCTGTTTTCTATGTATATTGTGCATGTACACAATATACATAGAAAACAGCCAGAGCAATACAAACAATCATACTCATAAATGTAAAGGTTTGAAAGGCAGGAAATCGAGCCCGCGACCATCGGAAGTAATGCGGTGTACTAAACCACTAAATTAAGTCGAATAAAAGATTTAAAAATATATTTTTTTGTTTGAAAGAGTCTACTTTTAGATTAGTAAATTTTTTTAGTATTTGTAGACTACTTTTGTTAAATGTTATATTTTTTTAAGGATTATTTGTTATCGTTGATTTTTTGAGGTAGCTCCATAGCTGTATTTACACAGCAGTACTTACTTTTTATTCTGGACGTATTAAGTAGCGCCATCTAGTCAAATTTTTTGTGAGATAAACCTTGTACAAAAGTGTCTACGTGGACACCTGTCTTACCTATTTCAGCCGCTAAGTAGCTTGCTGTATAAGATATTTCTGTTGAAGAGTGAGATATGATGAATGAAATTACATGGTACGGAGGCATTATTCCTCTAAAATGGCAATAAATTAATCATAATAACCCCAGGAAAATTCACACAGCTCAACAGTGCCAAATGTGTTATGGGTACAATAAGATAACTGATATAAATACTTAAATAGGTATATAGATCGTAAACACCCAGACCGACACATATAATCTCAAAGTCATTAATAGAAATGTTTGTACTGTGCTAGGAATCGAACCGTTATCGCCTCGGTTACCACTCTCCATCAGGTAGACCATCGCCGTGATGACTATTCCAACTAGATAAATATAAATGATATCATTACAAAATATACTACGCTAAACTAATGTGGGTACTAAGCAACTAATACAAATATTTATATATTTTTTATATATGAATGGAAAAGTCCAATTCATTTCACACATGGTCATGGTCATGAATACAAATATTTCTAAATATATATGTTGTATTACGATCGATTACGGTAACGGTTTATATATTAAACCTAAGCACAAACACCACTCTTCTGATATTTTTCTTAATATTTACTTTTTTTCGGACTACTCTAATGCTGTTGACCGCAGCTGGCCTTTACAGCTTGACCGGACGACAGCGGGCGAGTGCAAATGGCACTCTAAACCCGCGGAAGGACTTACGGAGCGGCTGAAAGCCAACTCCCGCCTGATGGATACGAATTTAGTCTGAAGGTACTGCTAGGGGTTCGAACGTCCGCTCAGGTCGGCGTAATTTCGATCCCCGTTTGAATTGGACGGGGGATCGATCGGAGGGTGGTGTAAGGTATTGTATCGCATCGTATGTTGAACTCTGTTTTCTGCAATTAACCTCTCATTTAAAATTGTTTACCGTTATAATGATCGTTCTGAAGGCAATAAAGAGTAGTGGCTTATCAAAAGTAACTGACATGGTGTTTTAAGACAACCCTGAACGTAACTCCAAAGAGACCGCAGACATGAGTAAATAATTTTCCTGATTACCGTGCACCGTCTTCGTGCAAAGCGAGGAGCGTTGTCGTCTCGACCCAGACAAAAATATTAAAACTCTGAAACGTGAACACACTTGTTTGCATTACACTAATGTAACGCTAAACTCGACGCTAATAATGTGTTTACTGGGAATGTACCACATATATTATCCTTCTTATTCATAATGACTAAGACCAACAACATATATGTACATTATAATTATATAATATGTACACATAAAAATGTTTTTAAGAAACTGGCAATAAAAGTTTCTTGTATGTTGACTTTAACAAATTTTTGCCGTATATGAGTCAATAATT